CGCAGTACGACTGCATATGTAGAAAAAGTTGCCTAAAGCCTTTTGTGTCTTCAGAGGAAGCTGTGCAAAATCTGATAATTGTCTCAAATCGTGTCACTTGAGTCAGCATCTGTTTGGTCTGAAGACTGCAAGTTTGAAATAGGGCAACAATAACAATAATTATCGCAATATAATAGTTTTCTATAACAAACAATATAATAAATATTCAATAAACGTTGATAAATGATTTTATTCACTTGAATCATCTTCATTTTTATCATTATTGTTTTGAATGTTCTACCTCAGACTTGTGAAGTGATCCACTGTTTGGCATCAAGAGTTGACCATGAAGAAACATTTCAACCACAATTAACCATCAGGTTTCTTGAACTGTCATTGAGGAGCAAAAACCAGCCTTTAAACTCGAAAGAACTAACGATTTGATACTTATCATGATAATTATGATATTGAAAGATATTAAACTTTTTATCGCGATATCATTTTTGGCCATATCCTCCAGCCCTAGTTTGGAAAAAAAAATAAAAAATCTGGTGGCATGGAGTTTAAAAGAAGTGACGTTTCCACACTTCCTAATCTCCACTGCAGGCTAGCAGTTCAAGGCTACATTAGCCACCGCTAGCATGTGGTTACTGCAGGCAGCAGGTTTCATCAAGCATAGGGAATGCATGAAATAACAACGACAGTACGTCTGGTTCTTCCTTATTGAGTTTAATTCCTGTTCATTATCAGTTACATGAGTGCAATGCTAAATCGGTGAAGTATTAGTGGAATCACTACATAGAAGTGTGTTCACATACGTGTCCACAATATAGTTAGCATCATTTTTGTCTCAGCCTGTTTTCTCATATTTTTTTTATTTGTCTCCCAAGGTGGCGAATGTGGACACTGAGCTGACAATCTGGAAGCTTTCAGAGACATTGAACTACCCCAGTGCCTCCTATTGAATATATTTATTTTCTACAGTGTTGAGACGAAGCATCCATTTCTACAAAGTCACTTTTATTTTCACATATCAGTCAACACAGGCTGAGATTCTGTTTTTACTTCTTTTTTTATGTTTTCTGTGTAAAAAGAAACAATATGGTGCTCTAAGTGCTGAACATTATCAGTGATATACTATACTGTCATGTGACCAATTGAAACGGTACATGTGAAACTTGATCATAACACTAACGGAAGCGGAGTGACTGTGTGTTTCTTTAAAAATCTGAAATCAGTGGGTTCAGGGTTGACATTGTTCCATACTTCACATCTGTATGTTTGTTTGTAGGCCTCTTGAAGCCTTTGGTGCGTGTGAAGCAGACAGTTTCACAAATGACAGTCTGTCAGATATTTATGTAAAAGCTTTGTTTTTGATTTTCCTGCTTTCCCATAGACACAGATCTCCTCCCCTGATTTGTATTGTTCCTGCAGAATTGTCACTAATTTCAACACCTGGGATTCTTGCTTTTGAAAACACCATGTGACAGACTTCATATATATGAACCAATCTATATGGCTGCATTGTTTTCATGAGCAGCGATGTGGTAGAATCAAAAACACAATGCGGTGATGAGTTACTCAGCCTCGGCTGCTTGGGTAATGACAATTTCCTTTAGGCCGCCAGGTGATACTAACGCTGTTCTGGTAGGATTCAACATTGTAACATATCTCAGCTCTTTTATTTCTCAGTCTTTTGTTGTCTTAATCTTTTTCTTTTTTTTTGTCAAGTAACCCTTTTTAAAGTCGGACATGAAGAAAAATGTAATCAAACTACAGCTGAACAAGAGAGCGTCGTCCTTTATTGCTTTCTTGTCTCCTGCTGCACGCGTGATAGTGTTGGATGATGAAGTCAAACTGTGATATATGACATAATCTTTGGGTTTTTGAATATGAACTGATCGTAAGCCTTCAGCTATAAGCTACAAAACGCCTCGCTGCAATAACGGTTTCCTTTTTTGAAAATGGGTGTAAATACTGTACACAGTGAAACATTATTGATGTTGTAAAATTCAGATGACCACTACAGATTCCTGTTCTGAGATTGTCTATCATTTTATATTTTATGTATCATTGTAAATGATTTCAGCCAGATGAAGATTCTCTTTTACTTGCAACTGAGATTACGTCACATCTGTTGTACATGATCCTTTTTTTGTTTTGTTTTTTTCTTAAGCAAAAAATGACTGCTTCATTTGCTGTGTTTGTGATTTCATGTGATGGAGACTGTCTATCCAGGATGTAAACACTACAGTTGTAGGTGAAGTGTCAGTGTTATTCCACTCATCCTGTGAAACGCTGGCTGTGTGTACATCTTTATGGAGTGTTTTTATTGCACTCACCATTGACTGGATGTTTGAAGTGGAGGAAGTAGTAACCGTCTTGTGAGGGTAAGTGAACGGGTGAGCACTTTAAGTGACAGATATAAACTTGTCTTGTTCATCATTGCACTTGCTGTGTTGCTGTTTCAGTCCCTCCTGCCACAGTTGCAAGTATGAAAGCTTTTTTAGGATGATTAGTTTCCAAGTGGTAAACGTTTCCCTTGTCTGCTTAAAAGCACTTCACTGTTCAAAATCGTTGTTTTGTTTTTTTTCTTTTATCAGTGGTGCTCATGGAATAATGAATTTTTTTTTTTTCTCAGGTTCTTAGTCTTGCTTTACATTCTGGACTTTGTCTTTGTCTTTTAATTGTCATTAATGAAGATGTTATAAGACCTTAAAGAAAAATTGTTGTAATAATAAGTTCCCTTTTTATCAGTCTCAGCTCTTGAATTATCCTTTTATTACACTGCACTATTAAAACACCTCTTTTTAAATGTCTGTGTTAAATGGCATGTTTCTACAGGATCATATTTCTTCTGAAGAGACACAGCAAATGTTAAGAAGTGTCGAGCAGCTGCATTTCTACTTTGCCTGTATTTTGCTTTTCTTTCCTGATCATATAGTTGTGAAAAAGTCTGTTGTGCAGACTCACACTAGGTGCTAGCACCGCCATCACATCAGCGCAGAATTGGCTCTGAGAGTAAAGTCTAGCTGGGGGGATTATTAAACCATGATGCAGCTGTGACTGTTTTTTGGGATATAAGTTAGAATTCAGACTCTCCTACAAATAAAATAAACAACTTTACCAGGAAAAATGTCCACATAGAGAAGAGATGCTGTCCAGTTACAGATTGTGCTGAAAGAAGCAGAGCCAGATTCACCTCGTCAGGGCCAGTCATCTGTCACAAAGTCACAAAAAGTTCTCTTTCATAATGGATGAAAACATTTCTCAGTTTGCTAAAGATGCTTTTATAATCCTTTCAGTGTATTGCGCTGCATGATCGCTATGCTTTCAGATAACAGAGGCCACCATTGGTGCTGCTGAGTGCATGTCTTGCAACCGCGTTCATTTAAGACACAGACTAGTTGCACTCACATAAAGCAGTGGACATTTTAGGTCTTGGAGAGTATAGAATATATTTTCCTGATGCAATTCAAAGAGTGTGTCCCTTTTTATCTTCTTAGTGTCAAGTGGCGACTCAAGAGAACAAAGCATCTTCCTCGACATCCTTTAATTTCCTTTTTCTTTTCACACTGTTGAAATACAACAACTATATAGGCTGTAAGTTGTACTTATCTCCACCAGGTTTTGATATAGAAATTTGCCGTTAAGCTTTTCTCATGTTTGTCGTCCATTTTGATTTGGCTTATTTCTTTTTACATCTAACAGCTGTGAATGATTTCTAGCAAACAGTACAATACTGCCCGTGATGTGTTTATCTCAAAGTCACAAAGGCAATTCACGCAATCTCCTACACACCAGCACCTCATTATTGAGATATGAGAAATGGATTGTCAAGCTGTATGTAATTACACACAGACATGCGAACACAACAGCAGATAATGCCAATGAGATCTGAGACAAATTAAGAGCCTTCACTATCATAATGACCAATCAACCTTGATTTTACTTTTGACACTGAACATCTGGCTGACAATGTGATGCCATGCGGAGCGCGAGCAGAGAGAGGGCACTTAACGCTTTAATCTAATCAAGCTCAACAACATTTCAGCTTTGTCTGTAAAAGCCAGGCAACACTGGAGAGCCAGCCAGAGACAGCTAGATTTTGAGATGATCCAGCCGAAAGAAATGCCACCCACTCCCTCCAAAGCCACTCCCCCAAAACACATTTACAAGCAGTGTGGTGTGCAGGTAGGCCCGCCAATCATGTGCTTAGTACAGGCACCGGTTGCTTTTCATTCTTGTGTAGTATTTGATTGCTGTTAGTGTTTTTTTGTAAGGATTTCAAATGGGCGCTTTAAGGGTTGATGCAGCCAGGGCTCTGCTCAGTGTTTCAAGTGCAAAATCACCAACAATCATTCACTGGATTTGAGATGCAGGAAAAGCTCATAAGAGTAGCCTATCATTTTATCAACCACTCAAATAATACCACCCAATCATAATTCTGTTTCTGTATTGCATTTTCTCCACATGAGCATTTTATAGGTGATAAGAACTGGTGTGGAAAATGTGTTCCCTCTCCCACACAGTCTGGCTTATTTCAGCCGGGTTCCTTTTTGAACTTGTCCACTTCCCTACACTTTTGACTTCTGTGCCTTCCTAAATAGGCTATTCTCTTATGTCTTCATTACTTGAGTGCACGTTCTCAGCCATGTTTAAGGCGACTGTGACTTTTTCTTTGCATGTCACTCTCAGGTTCAGCTTCACCTTTAGGATCTCCTTACAAAACTACTAGATTGTTTCCAAGTTGTACGGTATGTCTAATCTCAACTTGGAGGAAAACCAAGTGTTTCTGTGACAGGGAGGCACATTAGCACTGATAAGAAATGAAAGCCGGCCTCACCACTGACACTGCCTGTTGTAGTGTAATGTTTAACTGCCCTGCCCTGCCCTCAGATGGGAGGAGGAAATTTGGGTATGTTGAACACTCACAGACAAACACTCAGCTCTGGACTAGAAGCTGTTAAGACTCACGGGGATTCAAGTTGATCATCAGCAATGGGAGGAGAAGGACCAGGCTTGGAGCCACACACTGGATTTTGGGGGTAAGACACTGAACATTGAGAAGATAGTAAAAAGTAGCCGGCGGTGGATTCTTTGTATTTTCTGCTGTGGAGTGTCCTGAAATGATACACCTACGGTGATATGAAGTTTTTCCGCCCCCTCCCTGCTTGAAGAAATAATTCCAGACAAAGAAAAGGCTTGAGGGTAAAGTGCTCTCTTGGGAAACTGCTCGCTCCTGGATCTCGGCTCTAATCACCGGGAGGGCGCCCAGCAGAACTAATAGCTACAAGAAAAAATCAATACCTGGTAAACCTGAGCTCACCACTCCCTCACCATGAATCAGGAAATAGCAGATAAGAAAAACTGGAGGGAGCTTGAACCCAACTTGCCCACCAAAATCTTCCTGACAGTATTTTACAGCCTGATCCTGGTGACGGGCATTTTGGGTAATTCAATCACAATCAGAGTGACCCAGGTGCTGAAGCGTAACGGCTACCTGCAGAAGAACGTCACCGACCATATGGTTAGCCTGGCGTGCTCGGACCTGTTGGTGCTGCTCATCGGCATGCCGGTGGAGCTCTACAGCGCCATCTGGTTCCCGTTCTCGTCCATCTCTGGCAACGCGTCCTGTAAAATCTACAACTTTCTGTTCGAGGCTTGCAGCTATGCTACCATCCTCAACGTCGCCACGCTGAGCTTTGAGCGCTACGTGGCCATCTGCCACCCGTTCCGCTTCAAAGCCTTTGGGGAAAGACGCACCATGGCCCTCATCACCATCTCCTGGGTGGTGTCCCTGCTCGTGGCCCTGCCGCTGCTGATTGCCACGGGGACGCAGGGACACATTCCCATCGCAAGAAGCACACCCGTCCAGAACCTGACTTTCTGTACCAATCTGAGGGAGCGCTGGACGATGTACAGGGTGAGCATCTTCATCGCTTTCATCGTCTACATGGTGGTGTTGATCTGGGTGGCCTTCATGTGCCGGGCCATGGTCGTCGTCCTTAAGAAGCATTTAGGAACCACGGATGGCGCCACCAATGGGACCCAAAGAGACGCCAGGCACGAAAGTTCAAAGGTCAGGACAGCCAGGAAGCAGACCATCATTTTTCTTGGTAGGTTGTTTGTTTAATATCAAAAAATATATATCAAAGAGCTCCCGGTGTGTCTGTTTAGAGTGAGTGTGTGTGTGTGTGTGTGTGTGTGTGTGTGTGTGTGTGTGTGTGTGTATACTTTTAAGTTTTCATACCCTTTTGGAATTTCTACATAAAAGAGTGAAAAGTGGTAACATAAATGTGTTCTTTGGGGGCCAGTTGACCTGTGTGATGTTCTATCACCACCGCTGCTGGGGATGTTCAGACATGTCAGACAGCATCTGTTTACCACCAGCAGTTAAGACACCTTGACTCTGAGCCATGCATGGAAGTGAGAAAGACAAGTTCAGGCTAATGTTATGACCTTTCGAGTGATTGATATCCCACACTAACGCACACATACACACACGCTGCTTTTGTTTAGGGTGTGTTCTTGAACTGACAGAAACACTGCAGATAAAACCATCTTGAGATGCTAACTATTGCTTGTTTATGTTTATTTGCACGATGTTTCAAACTTGAAGATTGCTGTCTACCTTGAGACGTGTCTTTCCGTGCTGTCCAGTCATCATTTGGTGAGACAGGATTAAAGTTGCTGAATATAGGCTATGACACAAGTTTTGTTAAGGTAGCCGCTATTTACAATATCCAAGGGCTCAATGGCCATATTTTAACTCAGAAAATGACTCCCACAAAACGTATCCCCCCAAAAAATACTGAACAAAAATACTAATGGAAGACCTCAGAGAGGAGGACTCTCCTTCCAGGCAGCCAGGTGTGCAGTGGGTGCTAACAATGCCAACAGAATTTCCAGAATAAATGCAATGTGAGCACTGGGGTGGACATCCTGAGGACATCTGCGCCGTCTTGGTCCAATGGACATCAGCTAGCACTGGAAACGGAGTTCAGAGATGTTAACGGATGCTGGTATGCCCCACTGCAGACAGGCTGATATGAAAAGAAATAGGAGACACACCAATACAGAAACTCCCAATGTCCTTTGGTTATACAGCAGACCGTCACAGAGAATGACCACATGAATACGTCGTACACTGACAAGAAGCAGGACACAGGAACTGATTTCCACTGGAGAGGAAAGCTGTTAAAGATAAACTCACTGTTATATCTGGGGAAATGTATATTAGTCAGTTTCTTAGTAAAGGATACAGAAAGGAATACATTTTCCTGTTTCTAAAACAATATGCTCCATATAATGTGAAAGGTGTGTCTTTTAGTGACAAACACACAGAACAGAATTATCACCCAGCTCTGCAGCCCCCCTCAGCTCTATGGAGAGTTTTAGTGTCTTTCAGCTTTCAGAGTGTTGCTCTCAACAGCCTTGTTTTCAGCAGCAGCAGGTAGCGGTTGTCAATGAAATATCTCTGGTGAACTCACTGCACGCTACCTGCCCAGCACCAAACAACAAACACACAAATCACATTCACCATAACAACTTTATACAACTTTATACTGCTGCCCCCCAAGTGGCAAAACAAAAATCAGATAATGTTCAAAAAGCATCATTCCAGATTCCTCTACTGTATACGAAGTTTTGAAACATTGTGAGGACAACATTGTAACGGCTGTTACGTCGCTACATAGTGAATGTTAAGTTTTCTTTTATAGGTAGATTTACGGGTGCACAAATCAACTAGAACGCTCTTTTAATTGTTTTTATTTAATTTTAGGGTGTGCCATGTAATATCGTTCACGACGTATAATTCGCAATATCGCTATAATTATTAATATGATTTAAAAAATATTCAGACTTATTGACGTAATGGCGTTACACAGTTACACAATGCAACAGCAAGCAAAGTAACGTGGCTACCGGCTCCATGGAGGAGGAGCTCAACAGCTATTGTGAGATCTAAACCAAAAATTATTTTCATCGTTTTGTACTTTTTTGACCCTGTAATATCATGAGAGTAGTTATCGCCCACCCCTCCTTTCATTTTGTATGTTCAGCACAGTGGAGACAAATGCACAGCCAGTTTTGAAGGACAGTCGAAAAGCCGTCTCTCTAATTGCAGATGGCAAAGCAAGAGCGCATGCTGAGAAATGGCTCTGCTACCTGCAGCTTTGTAATACCTGCCATCTACATTGCAGCTGCTACCTGCAACTGAAGACAAGCCACTATTTTTAAAATGGGTGGGCACATTTGCAAAAGCATCTGGCCTCATTTAGGAGCATGAATAGTGAGGACAGCATAGAATAGCCAGATTGCCTTATTTTTGTACAAAGGGACAAGCCTTCTTGACCAGATGACTGATTTTGATGTTAAATATGATCTCATGAGATCTCATGTGTCCACTTTGGAGACGAGCATTAGTTAGTCCGTTGTGACATATGTTTGAATAAAGTCACCCATGATGTCATGTTGGATCAGTCCGACATTGAGCAAAAACCAGACACTCACAACTACAGCTACATGTTTAGTTGGTGACTAAAACTGAGCTGAAAGAAGAGTAAATATTAGACTTCTTTTTGTAAGGTGCCCAGAAACACAACTCCAGATGAATGCTAAAGTTGCTTCATGTCTGAGCTCAAGTTGTAGCCCGCAGTGTAACTCAATGAATCTGTGCAACATTATACTTATTATACCTGTTTACATCCCCCAAAGCATCGTGGGAACTGTAGTAGGAGAAATGGAGATGATTATCCCACATAGAAGGAGTAAGACACAGGATAATAATAGGAGGGGATTGTATAACATTGTTTTTATATGTCTGGAACACTGACCCTCTCCTCTATCTAAATTGGCGGGGGGATGTTGGGGGGCCAGATGTATCAATTGTATCTGTCTTAAAGTTTGAGAAGCGACCTTAAATGTATCATAGGGACACTAGAACAAAAATAAGACACTAACACTTGACGCTGTTTAGGGATACAATCTCAGATCTCCCTTGTAATCTGATCTAAGGGATGTTGTTCACCATGACAAAATCTATAGCATGCATCCTTTAAACTGTTGAGGGGCAAGCACTGTGACTATAACTAAGCTTAGGTCCTCGGGACAGCCATGTATCAGCCACACTGACAATCACTGAGACAGTTAATCAGCCTTGCAGCATCCCGTAAGGAAAAAAACATGTGATGGATAGATGCTGACTTTCTGCTTGCTCCTTTGCCATTTTTGTTTTAATAAAATACTGACGTGTCAATTCATCTAAATTAACGCAAAATGTATTTTCTTCTTCATATGCAAATGATTTTGTGTACTAAATGAGTGAGCAATACATTCTTTCTACTCTTCCACACCTGTGTTGTTTCCTTGAGTACAGGACCGTGACGCTCTGGTTAGGGTGCTCTGATTCAGTTACCAATCATATGTCCTCAGCAATCTAATTAAGTATTTAGTATTGGACAGTGTGTGAATGAAATTGAGTGTCTGTGCTCTGATGAACTCGGATGGATGGGGAAGGGGGGGTGGAGGTCGGGTCAGGTGCATTACAAGCAATGAATAAAATTGGGTTTCATCCATTAGTCACAATCCCTGCGCAGCTTAATGGGCTGAAACAAACATAATTGTTTCTGTCCCGCTGTATGGATGTAATTTTGAACCTGCTTACACATATTCACATTGACTGGTGTTAACCGATGAGGACGGGGACATGAGGATGAACATGAGGATGATGATGATGACTGTGATGGTCATGAGGAGGAGGAGGGTGGACGGTGATGATTAGCAGGAACAGATTGAGGAACAGAGAGGGGAAAGAAAGATGATGACAGGGGTTATGTTAAAGATGTTCCACATTAGTAGGATGAAGACCTACTGTCGGAAAGTATGTTAAGCTTTGTCCGTTAGTGAGTGAAGCGATAAACTATTTGTTATTTCGCACTAACACCAGCAGCATCAACTACAACACTGATATATAGTAGTTACTTATTCATTTAAAGCTGCCCTAATCAGTATTTTTATACTAACAATGGATGAAATGACTATTTGTAATGTGAAAGGGGTCCCTGGTTGTGACAAACCCGCTGAGAAAGATCACCAGACTCTGCAGTTCCCCTCAGCTCTATGGAAGGTTTTAGCCTCTTTCAGCTCATCGCTTTGGTTTTACAGTCTGCAGCTTTAGGTAGGTAGGTAGGTTTATTGTCACAATATGTTATAAGTAAATAAAGTTATAAGTTTACTGTTTTTGTTCCCTCTTGCTGCTCTAAACAGCCTTTTTACAGCCGAGGCAGGCAGTGGTTTTAATTTGGATCTGTACCAGTGGTTCGGTACTGTTCCTCTGAAGGTGTTCAGGGCTCTGCTTTCTACTTCTTCCATGTAGTTGTTGGTCACAATCAGTGTTGGGCAGTAACACGTTACTAGTAACGCTCTTTTATACAGTAATAATATTACTTTTCCCAGTAACTAAGTAGTGTAACCAATTACTTTTCTAAAACGGTAATATTATTACAAGTTACTAAGGCAAGTAATACTGCTAAGTCGGGAGAGACTGCTTTGTTTGAGGGTGAAAGGCGGTGGTAGGGAAAGCAGTGTTTCCCATAATTGGCCAGTAATTTGGATAATTATCAACACGGACCGCCACATATTGATTTTCCAAATTTTTACTGGGCGTATATAAAATAATTTTTGATTAAGGAGCTGTATTGAGGAGCATATATTCGTGCAGCACCTCCTGGCTCCACAGCACAAACCTGTCCAACGATAGAATACCCTCCCCCCGCTGCCATAAGTAAAGTAATAATATTACTTTTTTAAGGAGTAATAAGTAACTAGTAATATATTACAAATTCTGAGTAACTTGCCCAACACGGATCATAATAGGAAATACTGGTGAGCACACAGAACAGCCTTCCTAAGGTCTGTAGAATCACCCGTTGTTCTGGAAATAGTTGGTGTTAAAGAGGTGGTACCAAAACAGGTTTACATGGTTTATTTTCAATAAAACACCATATTTTCGTCATACTGCACATTGCTGCAGCTCCTCTTTTCACCCTGTGTTGAAGGCTTCATTTTAGCTATGGAGTGATGCATCTTGTCTCTAAATGATCTTTGTTGGGAG